CATGCTCAAAAAGGTTTGGAGAGGCTAAGGAAGTAGCTCATTGGTAGAGTGCTTGCCTACATTGCGTGAGGCCCTGGATTTGAACCCCAGCACAACCAAAAAAATAAAAAGGTTTGGGAACACTGCATGTTGTATCCACTTCTCAGAGAGCTGTAAGTATACTAACTAGCTCTGAGAAATTCTATGGTAAACAAACAAACGTGTTTAATCCAAAGACATTTTCCAGATGTATATTTCAGAGAATACCCGTGCCACAAAATGCTCAACTCATTTCTTCAGAAACAACAAGGCTGAAAGTAGTAGAACTCAAGACTAGCATGAGCAAGGCTTAGGCTTGATCCTTAGCACCACAAAACAACAAGAAGAATGGAGCTGGTATAACAGACTAGGCAACTACTTTTTTGTTTAAAACGGTACTGGGAGTTGAACTCAGGGCCTCACACTTGCTATGCAGGCACTCTGCCACCTGAGTCACCAGCCCTAGGTAACTACACTTCTTACATAGTAGCGCTCCAGTTCAGACACAGATAGATGATTACCAAGGGTGATCTAGACATTTTCCAAGAGGCGGCCAAATACCAAAGCTGTACTTTTATTTTTTGTGGTGCTGAGGATCAAACCCAAGGCCTTGTTCATGTCAAACACTCTACATTGACTTATATCCCTAGCTCCAAAGCTACAACTTTTAGAAGTGGTAAGATCTTACCCAATAAGTAATACCAAAATATGGCTATTATCCATTCTGAATATACTCATATGTTGCCCTCAAACACCAGAAAGAAACAGTGGGAAAAAGCCACCAAAAAGCTTATGACCATGGGAAAATGGTATGGGATTCCTGTGTTTAAGGAAACCTACAGGTTTCTGGCATTTTGGTATATTCTAATGTCATACATAAAGGAAATTCATAAGGAGAGTTGCCAGGACCTCCAGCTGGGAACATATGGGAGGATTCCTTTACCTTTACATGCTGCCTTCAGCAACCTCAGAATATAAAACACATCATAAGCTCAAGGAGGAGCATGATGCTGAACTGAAAGGGGTATCCGTGAGAAACCAAGAAGATTTGTTAACTAGATTTCTAATTTCTGTAACCCTATAGTATTCTAAACATTAGGATTATAGTTTCCTACCCTTTTCTGCACAAATATATAGGAGAAAGGCTGGCTATCTAGAGATTGAAATCATTTGACTTTGTATCAGGTAGTGATTTGCTTGAACAATAAACAAGAAAGTAAAGTAAGGCCCCTTGCCAAGACCACCATTCACCCAGATGCAGCTGGGTTGTCTTTTATAGTGCAAATGTATAACACAAAGAAAACATAATTTAGACTAAGTTGTTAACAACTGTGAGTCTCCAAAACTGTAAAGGGTGCACCAATAGAAGGTATTTTTATAATTATTAGTTCTAGGCTAAAATAAGAGCAGGGAGTTGGTGGTACAGCTCAGTGGTAGACCACTTCTCTAACATTTGTAAAGCCCTAGGCTCAATCCTCAGCACTGAAAAAAAAAAAAAAAAAAGCAAATAAATCTGAAAAATAAAGAATTTAGTACTCATGTATGAAAATGGAAAAATAAGAAATGTTGAAGTTATTCTAGGAATGGGGAAAGGCGGGGGGAGATAAAGGAGAATGATGGATGGGGTGAATTCAATTATGATATATTGTAAAAACTTTTGTAAATATCACAACGTACTCCCCTACTATAAAAAAAGAATGCACAAGGAAAAAAAAAGAGAATTTACTAGGCTGGAGACATGGCTCAAATGGTACAGCACCTGCCTAGCAAGTATGAGGCCCTGAGATCAAATCGCTTCCCCAAAAAAAAATTTACTGACAAAAATTAAACTGAAGCACATTTTAAGCACAGTGGTAGAAACCCTAATGCCTAAAGTAACTGTTCAAAGAACAGGAAAACTATACTTTAACGAAAGACTTTCCAGTTTTGGATTGATTTCTGCCAGTTTGGGTCTAAACATAAAAACCCTACATTTCAGGAGTTTTTCGCTAAAGCTAACAGCTCCCCCTACTGTTCAAAAACAGCTTCAGTAATGTCAGTTTAATCCGTAGTGACCAAAAATAAAAACACATATACATATGCACACTCATACATAAATACTCCCTCCAATGTAGCACAATACAAGTAATCAAGTTCAAATGCACTTGCCTATCATGAGTTCAATGTCCTGGACCAAATGCTTCAGAATAATACCCACTACTTAATCAAAATAATTCAAGGGGTAATTTCATGGTTTCTTCACTAAACAAGCAAAGTTTTAAAAAGGGATGAAGACCCTATACATCTAACCTGGAATACGGCAGCAGCTTTTTATGTAGAAATGCATATGTACAAGTTCCCTATATACCAGAAACTAAACCATCACTAAATTTTTTCTGTTTTTCACCTGGTCTTCGGCCCCACACCAACACTTTCCCCCACCGCTCAAAAAAAAAAAAAAAAAAAAAACCCAAAAGATTCTCCTTTCCTCATGTCTAAATGCAGTTATTAGCACCTTATTGTCATCAGGATATTCTACATTGGAAGATCCATTGATCAGTTATGATAGCAAACCAAGTATCTGACCAAGAGAAGTATTTTTTACTTACCTGTTCCTTAAACTGTTTCTGGGATAAGCAATCAATTAGGTCCACACAGCCTAAAAGACATCCCGATGGATAGTCATTTGGAAATTCCACATCTGAATCAAGAATAACAAAAGGATTGGATAAGTTTCCTTCTTTGTGACCTTGGAACTCAGGAATCTGTTTTCAATTCTGAGCAAATAACTTTTTAACATTATCTATTTGTAGACATAAGGAAAACAATGAGGTTTTTATTTGGCATGATTGTTTATATTTTAGCAAAAAACCTAGTGTAAGGCTGAGCTAAGATAGGAAATTTTTCCTTTAGAAAAATCTTTGTACATCAAAGTTCAAGGACCCTACAAGTTCATTCCAAACAAATCAGTTCTATTATATTCAACTGGATCTGACAAGTTTGGTGATGATGGATTTTGGGGAGGGGGGGAAGAAAGAAAAGCAGCTCCAGGTGACAAGAGAAAAGCCATAAAAATATGGTTAAGAGTAAGACTGAATGTCAGAACACAAATTTAAAACAAATCAGTCATATCAGTCAAAATAGAAATGTGTTTTTAAGGAAGCATGCATTTCTGATTTCTAGTGATTGCTTTAGCTTGGTTTCTTAAAAACTTTTAAAAGTTGTCTGTAATTACCCTTTCATCCTGCCTACAAAACAACTGTATGAGCTGGATTAAAAAAAGGGAAACAGGATGTCCTCCAGTCAGAAGTTCTTTTTAGGATCCAAATTTACTGTGTTTGGGGTGATTCCAAAAATTTTCTGCTTCAGTCAGTCGACTTTGATCTATCCAAATCTAATAGCAGATCTTAATTTGGGTCACTTTTTATTAAAAAAAAATTCTTATTTGTGGTTGTTTTTCCCATCTAAAGATCCCAGAGTTTATAGGGGTCATTTATTTTTACCCTCATATTAAAAAAAATATTTTTCTCAGATACAATTAAGATTATTTGGTTGATTTCTGGTATTGGAAACTAGTATTTTTATGTATTCTTCTTTGAACAGCTATCTATGATTGCACTAAACAAACCAATAACCATATGCAAGGTTTAATAGTCCCTTTCAGCCAAGAAAAGGTTTATAGGAAGAAGAAAGTGAAAGATGCATGCCAGTAACTTTACAAAGTAAGAGTGAAGGGAGAATATATGGCTGTTACCTTTCCCATGAAGAAGACGATATGTGGCCTGGAGTTCTGAGACTTCTTGAGGGGAGGGTTTTTTGCCTGTGGCTGCTATCCAAAGCCGTCCTCTGTGGGGGGTGTACCAGGATCTGCCCTCCACCCTTAAACAAATACAAATTTAGTGGGAAGGATCTAAATTCTAGTTTCCTAGAAGATCCCATAATATACGATAAATCCTATAGCAAATCATCCAAGTTGAACTAAGAGTGCTAAAGAAGATACCTCACCAAGAGGAATTCTTTTGTGAACAAATACTCCCACAATACCTTTCCCTTGAAGATGAACACTGTTCATCTTGTTCTCTAATTTGTCCTATCATCAGAACAAAGATGGTTCATCTCTCTGAACTCCTACTTGTCACCTGATCTCTGTAAGCCAGACCTGGAAGTCTCACTAGTCTTGAGACTCCTACAATCCAAATTCTATGTTTTTAAGGCATCAAAGTTGTTCCAAAGATATAGAAATCCTTCCTCTTCAAAGATAAACTTTTTCTTGAAAGACTGGTTGATCTATTCTCCCACCTATTCTCCTGACCTTGACAGAAAAGTCCTCACTCACATAACTCCTCAAGAATGGTACTGTTTGATAGTTTTGGTTTTTTTTTTGGGGGGGGGCAGTTTACTGAGGTCTGTATTTAGGACCTCATGCTTGCTAGGCAGGTATTCTACCACTTGATCCATGTCCCCAGTGCTTTTTTACATTAGATATTTTTCAGGCATGGTCTTGAAGTTTTTACCTGGGGCCTCTGGGGCTTCCCTTGGACTGAGATCCTATAATGTATCTGTTATCATAGGCATGTACCACAGTAAGTGGTACATAGGCCTGGTTTATTGGTTGAGATGAGGGTCTCACTAACTTTGGCCTGAGCTGGACTTGAACTGTGATCTTCTTGATCTCTGCCTCCTGAGTATCTGGAATTATAGGTATATACTACTGTGCCCAGCCTGTGTAATAGAATTTGAATAATTAAAAATGCATACCTTTGCTCGTTTAATTGCAACCATATCTATATACATTTTCTAATTATTTTATATAGGGTTATGTTCTGCGTGGACAATGAAACAGTTTGGTGACTAGTTTGAAAGAGTCTTAAAGTGCATTCGAGATGATTTAATTACTTTGCTGCTTTAAAGAATTACAAAAGACGCTCCTCTTCATTTTTCAAGTTAAATGAGGTACTTTGATAACATATGCCTTTTTTCTTACAGGAAATAGGGCTGTGAATTTTTCATATTCTTAGTTTTCCAATACAGATGAATTAGAAGAGTCCCAGCATATACTAGGTGGTTACTACATGAAATGAACCAGTCTTTGTCTTCCCTCTAAACCAAATAAACTGAAGAGTTACTGGGAAAGTGGTCCCACTTTCTTTCTGTGGGATTAGTGACTGTGGATGGAAGCTGCTGATCCTGTTCTTTTTAGTGAGAAAATCTGATTAACAGAAATCCAAACAGGATGAGATAAATGTAAACATTCAAACTCCCTTAGCAGAAGGTAAACTGTTTAGTTTTCTACTTTGGAAAAGGAAAGCACTTAACTTGCAGAGAACTGAATCAGAGAACAGACATGGGAAGGGGCGTTGGTTGTCCTGGAGCAAAAGCAGATTCACTTGTTCCAATGCACTAGACACACTGCCTACAAAACAATTAGGATCCAAAGCAAGAAGGCCTGGCCTTCAAAGTGTAGCGCACCTGAGTAAAACGGGGAAAAGACAGCTAAAAGTCAAACTACCAAAGTAGAAATGACTATTTCTAAATACTAATTTTTCTTTCCAGAAAGTAGCCTGCACAATACAGTGCAAAAAGAACTTTGAAAACCTGAATTCTAGTTCCATCTCTGCTTTGTAGTTCAGAGTAATCTATCTTTGCTGCCTCCATGTCCTCATTTGTCAGACTGAAATATTGGCCTAATCTATCTCATAGAACTACGGCTTTGAAAGTTAAAATTTTATTTAAAAGGTATGTGTTTGGATACTCCCAAGCATATCAAACTCTAATAGATAAAATGAGAAGGAAAAATGAGCATGCTGTAAGTGGAAGAAAAATTCAAACATAAACATGTATCATGATCTTACTATACAACAATTTGCACAAGAAAAAGAATAGAAAGTAAACATTTCAAAATACAAACAGCTGTTTCTTTTTCTTTACTTTTTTTGGAGTACTGGGGTTTAAACTCAGGACCTCACACTTTCTAGGCAGGCATTCGACCACTTGAGCCACTCCACCAGCCCTTTTTTGTGTTGAGTATTTTTCAGGCTTCAAACCTGATCTCTGCCTCCTGAGTAGCTAGGATTACAGGAATGAGCCACTGGTGCCTGGCTAATAGCTGCTTCTTAACAATTGCTGTTTTTTGGTGATGAATCTTTCTTTCTCTAGCTACTTTCTAAATTTTACAATTTCCTATATTCATGTATAAAAGCAAAGAAAAAAGTAATTTAGAAAAACAAATCAGAGCTGGGTGCTGGTGACTCATGCCTGTAATACTGGCTACTCAGTAGGCAGAGATCAGGATTGTGGTAAGAAGCCAGACTGGGCAAATAGTTCTAGAGACCCTATCTCAAAAAACCCTTCACAAAAATGGGGCTGGTAGAGTAGCTCAAGGTGAAGGCCCTGAGTTCAAACTCCAGAATGGCAAAAAAAAAAAAAATTAAGAAGAAACATAGGAAACCATGGAATAGTAAGTGATTATCACTAATAGGTACAAAGTTATGCAGGTATCTCACTAAAATAAATAGGCATAGGAACTTCAAATTTCAAGGCCTGGAGGTATGACTTAAGTGGTTATCTGTTGCCTGCTTAGCAAGCTCAAAAGGCACTGAGTTCAAACTCTAGAACCACCAAACCAACAACAACAACAACAACCACTTCAATTTCAAACAGAATCAACCATCAAAAGTTGCTAAGTAAGATATCAGAAAACAAAGCCAAGAGAAACTTTTTCAGTACACTTTCTTCCAAAAAAAGGAAAAAAAAAAAAACTGGTATACTATCTGTTATGACTTAGATTCTTAGCCTTTCTGGGTTCATGGGTGGGTGTGGGTGTGTGTGTGTGTGTTAGTGTTAGTGTTACTGGGTAGCAAGCATGCTACCACTGAGGGATCAGTTCTCCCAAGCACATGCCACTACACCCAGCTTCATTTTGTACATGTGTGTGGTTTTTTTTGTGGTATTGGGGTTTGAATTCAGACTTGCTAGGCAGGCACTCTACCTCTTGAGCCACATCTCTAGCCCTTTTTCCTCTGGTTATTTTGGAAAAAGAAAGCTTCCTTTTTGGCCAGGTGAGCATGGACCATAACCCTCCTGAGTGCAGCCTCCCACATAGTTTGGGATGATAGGCATATGCCACCTCACCCAGCCAAAAGGTTGAGATGGGGGTCTAGCTAATTTTTTTTTGCCTGGTCTGGCCTTGAACCGGGATTTTCCAATTTCAGGCTCCCAATTAGATAAGATTACAGGTGTAAGCCATCGGCTCCCTGTGTTCAGCTTGTTTTTTAAGCTACTTGGTAAAAAATATACTATGAAGATTTTTGTTAATTTTTAATTTTCTTTTTTTGGGACTTTTTTTTTTTTGATGGCACTGAGGTTTGAACTCAGGGTCTCACATTCGGTATACAGGTGCTCTACTACTTGAGCCACTCCACCAGCCCCAGGTCTGGAGTTTGGACTCAGGGCTTCATTCTTGCAAACCAGGCACTCTACCACATGAGCCATACTCCCAGACCATTTTGCTCTGATTGTTTTGGAGATGGGGTCTTGAGAACTATTTGTCTAGGCTAACCTTGAGCCACAATCCTCCCAATCTCAGCCTCCCAAGTAGCTAGGATTATAGGCATGACCCACCAGCACCTGGCTTAAAATTTTTTAATTAAAAAAACTTAGCCAGGTGCTAGTGGCTCATGCCTGTAAGCCTAGCTACTCAGGAGGCAGAGATCAGGATTGCAGTTTGAGGCAAGCCTGGACAAATAGTTCAAGAGACCCTATCTTGAAAATACTCAACATGAAAAAGTACTGGCAGAGTGGCTCAAGTGGTAGAGTGCCTGCCTAACGAGCGTGAAGCTCTGAGTTCAAACCCCAGTATCACCAAAAAAAAAAAAAAAAAAAAAAGTTAGGTGCAGTGGCAAGAGTCTGCAGTCTGAGTTATTCTGCAGGCTGATGTAGAAGGATCACTTGAGCCTAGAGCTCAAGCCTTGTTTGCATATCATACTGAGACCCTATCTCAAAAAAAAAAAAAACACCAAATTAATTATTTCTGTATATATACATATGTATGTACTTAATTTCTTTCATCTTTGGGAGAGGGTCTTGCTAATATAGTCCAAGCTGGCCTCAAACTCACAAATCCTACTGCCTCAGCCTCCCAAATACTGGGGTTACACGTGTGTGCCACCATATCTGGCCCTGTTTAAAGTCATATATATTAGAGCTGGTGGAGTTGGCTGAGGTGGTAGAGCACTTGCCTAGCAAGCATGAGGCCCTGACTTCAAACCCCAGTAACACTTAAGAAAAAAAAGAACTAAAGCTGTACATTCTGAAGAATATTATAAATTATCACTAAATTGGAAAAAACAAAGTTTAATCCATAACTCAAAATCAAGTTTATGTTACAATAAAATCTTTCACTGCTACAATTCATTTCCATTCTTACCTTTTAACCCCTCTGACAAGCAGAGAAGCCCAGGGCTGATGAACAGAGAGGCACCAGCCACCATCAAAGCCTTCCTGGAATTCTTGATCCTGAATTCGCAACTGGTGCTGATGTAAGTTGAACTCTAGTTCCATTTCTGCTGAATGGAAAGCCTTCTTCTGTGAGGTTGCACCTGTGTGGTCTACCCACTATACAGAAAAGAAAAACAAACATTCAATTCTGCCTGACAAAGAAGAACCTAGGGAAGGTAGACAAAATGAGATTAATACTAATAGTGAGAAAATCATACAAGGAATGCTTTCTTGGAAAATTTTATTCCATTTTTGTCTGAAACAAGGCTGAAGTGGGCAGAGATGGTATAAATTCGGTAGAAATCCCAGGTAAGAGAACAAGGTCCCATTTTAAAAGATATATAGGATGTTGAACTCAGTGTACATTGCTTCTAATTCCAGTAATGGCATAACTATCATTGAAAGTGCTGTAATTATTTCCCCTTTATACTTACTAATGATCCATATTTGAATCTAGATAAATTCCAAGATAATTCTATCAGCCAAATGAAGGTTCAATATTTTGGTCTGTAATTCTTCACATGCAGAGTCACAGATTAGTATCATAACAAAGCCAAACAGATGCTGCCAGGGGCAGCAGTTCTGACTATGAGATGTATGAAGTATTCTATTACCCTGTTTTGCTCTGAAAGAGAAGATGGAGCACCATGGAAACAAGGTTCCCATCACATAAGGGAATTAAAGAATTACCAGGTGTAGGTAGGAGAGTCAAGAGTCTTGGCAAAATTCACACTAAGAATGGTGGTTAATGTTCCTTTATACAGCAAGAAGACCAAGTGCTGTAAAATAAAAAATAAAACTTCTTTTTCCAGTGCTGGGGATCAAACCCAAGGATTCACATATTCTAGGCAAGCACTGTACCACTGAACTACACCTCCACCCCAAAACATTGTATTTATTGAGTACTCAATTATGTGAAAATCATATAAACTGGAGAGACATAAAATATGAAAAAGATATAGCTCTTTTCAAAGACCTTATAATAGTAGTAGAAGATAAACACAAGTAACTGTCTAAAACAAAGGATTGGGTAAATACTAATTAACGATAAAAGTTGTTACGGGGCAACACAGAAGAACTGATACATTATGGGAAAATAAATGATTTTGTAAAAATGTTGGGATTTGAACAGTTGCAAAGCCCAAATAAATTTCTAGTACAGCTATTGACCAATCACACAGCCACTTTCCTAAACTAATCCCTTATTTATCTTTCAATAATACTATTAAAGAACCTGTTAACTGTAGGAACTGCAATTCCTTAAATAACTCTCTTCTACCCTACTGGTATTACAACACTAATTTGGGGACCTCATCATCTCCCCATTGTGCTATCACAACAACCTCTTCAGCAATTTTCCTTCTTGTAGTCTTACCCTTTCCTCCAATCCCTTCTCTATATAAGCAAGAAAGTTTTGCCAATCTTTTGCTAAAATTCTTAAAAAGGTCCCTCTTTGCCTATTTTAGGATAAAACCTAAACTTCTAGTATGAGACCTAAGGGCATTCATAATAAAGTATTGTTTATTGTTAAGTAGTATCACCTCAAAATGTATATCCACCTAGAATCTTGTGACTATGACCTTGTTTGGAAATATTCTTTGAGGATGTAATCAATTAAGATGAGATGGATTACAGCAAACCCTAAATCTAATGTCTGATGTCCTTCTAAGAGAACACACAAGACAGACACAAAAGAAAGACCATGTGAAGACTGGAATGATGTAGCTTGGATATCTAAGGCCACCAGCAACTGAAAGATGAAAGGAAGCATTTTCCTGTAGAGCCCCTGGAGGAAGTATAACCCATCATACACTTTGATTTTGAACTTCTACCCTCCAGGCTGAAAGAAGACATTTCTAGACGTTGTCTTAAGTCACCAAGTCTATGTTATGGCAGCCCTAGGAAATGAATACACCTACCAGTCTATCACAATACTGAGTTGCATTCACAATAGCCAAGTTATGGAAACAGCCAAGATGCCCCACCACTGACGAATGGATTAAGAAAATGTGGTATCTATACACAATGGAATTTTATGCAGCCATGAAGAAGAACGAAATGTTATCATTCGCTGGTAAATGGATGGAATTGGAGAACATCATTCTGAGTGAGGTTAGCCCGGCCCCAAAGACCAAAAATCGTATGTTCTCCCTCATATGTGGACATTACATCAAGGGCAAACACAACAATGGGATTGGACTATGAGCACATGATAAAAGCGAAAGCACACAAGGGAGGGGTGAGGATAGGTAAGACACCTAAAAAACTAGCTAGCATTTGTTGCCCTTAACGCAGAGAAACTAAAGCAGATACCTTAAAAGCAACTGAGGCCAATAGGAAAAGGGGAACAGGTACTAGAGAAAAGGTTAGATCAAAAAGAATTAACCTAGAAGGTAACACCCACGCACAGGAAATCAATGTGAGTCAATGCCCTGTATAGCTATCCTTATCTCAACCAGCAAAAACCCTTGTCCCTTCCTGTTATTGCTTATACTCTCTCTACAACAAAATCAGAAATAAGGGCAAAATAGTTTCTGGTGGGTATTGAGGGGGGGAGAGGGAGGGGGCGGAGTGGGTGGTAAGGGAGGGGGTGGGGGCAGGAGGGAGAAATGAACCAAGCCTTGTATGCACATATGAATAATAAAAGAAAAAGGGAAAAAAAAAATACTGAGTTGCTTGGTATTCCCACAAGCTCACAATATTCTCAAGCTGCTGAGCCCTTACCTATGTTGTACCTTCTTCCTGGAGTTCCTGCCCCAGATTTACCTCCATGGAAATTTCTAGTCATACCTTAAATCTCCTCTCAAACATCATTTCTTTCAGAGACCTCAGATTTATGAACACATTATTAAATCCTACTGTACCTGCATTTATCACATATCTATTATAGCAATTATGTTAAAGAACTGTAATTATTGTATTCATAATTCAAGAATAATGGGCACGTTAATCTTGAAGTTCTTAAGGACAGGAGCTAGGCCTTTACTTTTTTTTTTTTTTTTTTTTTGTGGTACTGGGGCTTCAACTCAGGGCCTTCACTTTGAACCACTCTACCAGCCCTATTTTTGTGAAGGGTTTTTTGAGATAGGGTCTCATGGAACTATTTGTCCAGGCTGGCTTTGAACCACAATCCTCCTGATCTCTACCTCCTGAGTAGTTAGGATTACAGGTGTGAGTCGATGGCACCTGGCAGGCCGTTACCTTTTAATTTCCTAGTACCTAGCACAGAATCTGCCATATTTGTGGTGCTGAATGAATGTCTCCAGTTGAGCTATCCAAAGCATCATGCTGACTATATTATCTCTCTAAATAAGGACCTTCTATGGCTCACATTTAACTACAAAATGAAAATGTTAAAACTTTCTAGCTGAACACTTACTTCTTTAGTGATTTGGTTCATACTTAACCCCGCTTTATTTCTCATTATAATCCATCATAGGAGTCCTATAGAGATAGCTTGTATTCTCTATTATATGTTATGGTTTGGATCTTGAATGTTCCCCCAAAGCTCAAGTGTTAAAGGCTTGGTCCCTGGCTGATGGTGCTACTGGTTGATGAACGAATCTTTAAGAGGCAGGGATTAGTAGAAAGAAGTTACGTCATTGGGACATGCCATGAAGGGGATATTGGAAGCTTGTCCCTTTCTCTCTCTCTCTCTCTCTCTTTGCTTTCTGGCTGCCATGAGATTAGCTGCTTTGCTCAATCATGGAACTCCCTGGGATATTTTGCCTTACCATAGGCCCAAAGCAACCATAGACTGAAACCTCTGAAATTGTGAGTCTTTTAAAATGAATCTTTCCTTTCATTAGTTGATTATCTCTAGTATTTTGTCACAGTAACAGAAAACTGACCAACACAATATCCCATATTTTGTGTATACATGCCTTTATTTTTTTTGTTTACTATGCCCAAACACTCATTTTCTTGAATATTTACTTTGAATGACTACCAGTATCTCCCTCCTTTGGATTTCCATAGCAATATATTTATATTCCATTAGTATTAGAACTACTTATATTTTCAGCTGCTTATGAAGGTATCTTCCTTTACCAGTTTTTGAGTACTTTGAGGAAAAAATCATTGTCTGGTTGACCACCTGAGCCATACCTCTACTCCTATTGTTTTAATTTCTTCAGTACTTAACTATTTTTTGGAAAATACTCAGAAAATAATCAGGTCATGTTGTCAGAAATGCTCCAATAAAAATTGGAAAAACTAAGGCCAGAGACTAAGATTGGTGAGTGTGCTGAGAGCAGAGACTGGGATCTGAAGCCTATGAAACAGACACACTTGAAAGGAGAAATATTTGGGGCCAAATTTCTCTCCTTATCAGTTATAGGAAAGGTCCACTAACCTGTGGAGGGGACTGGTACAGGTTGGGATTTACCAGAACTCCCAAAGGCTCTTCAGAAGATCTATCCAGTTTGATCAGTGGCTGGTTCAAGGTTCCATTGGCAATGGCCTGTATTGTCTCATCTAGTCTGTGATAACAAACCAAAAGGATGCAAAAATTGGCAATTGTCTATTTTCAGAGTGTCTGTCCTTACCACTAATATAAAACTTTTCAATAGTAATAAACTTTGGAATTCAAAGAGGAGTTGTAGACATGGACAACCGTCTCTACTCCACCTTCTTTCTCTCCACACCAAGAATTCTATCGAAAATAGGAAGGACACACTATAGTCATTCATTTGTTTAACAACTCAATAAACATGCCAAGACTACAACAGCACCTAAAATACCCTGACTCAAGAGAAAAGTATTCTATGGTAGCTTACCTAGTCAACACAGCCTACACAGGTATTCCCTGTCTACTGAGGAGTCCCTTTTCCACTCCTCCATGCTATCTGGATTCTATTCTTGTTTCCAAGCTCAGAAGTTCTAAGAGGCATCCTACATGCCCAACACAAAAGTGCTTACTCCTTTCTCTAAAGTGCTGAGTACTACTATTGAAATAATCATTGGACACACACCATACTATTCTCTGCTTATGGTGTTGGCTTTGGGTATTTGGCTCCAAACCTATAAAAGAATGTGATAACTTTTATTTAAGCCCTACTTGCTATTATGGAATCATAGGCAGGAATTCTATTATATTTTTCTACATTACTTGCTGCTGTATTCCATATTCCTATTGGATGCTTAACAAACATTTGTGGCTAATGATAGTTCTGAAGCATCACATAATGCAATGTTTCAACTTACAGAAAAGGCTAAACCATTTTGAATTAGGTTCAAGATATATTTATCAGGAACTTTTTATATGCAATGCAACTTAAAAGGAATGGAGGACATAGTTCCAGTCTTCAAGAACCAAACTTCCTTCCAATCTTCCCTCCTCCCTCCCTTCCTTCCGCCCCCCCCTTCTCCTTTCCCATTTTCTTCCTTCCTCCCTTCCCTCTCTCCCTCCCTCCTATAAAGACAAAAGGAAAAAAAACAGAAGAAGCTCTGAAAGTGGGCACAGTCTCAAACACTTATAATCTTATCACTTGAGAGGCTGAGACAGGAGAATTGCAGGATTGACAAGAGTGTGGATTACATAGTTACACTCTGTACCAAAACTCCAATGATAATAAAAAAGAAAACAAGAAGATTTGAGTTGGAGTGGCATGTTTAAGACAGCTATTTGTATGATGCACTATACAAGAAAGGATGTAATAATCACTATGAGATAGGCACAATCTATATTGTAGATATCTTTCCATCATCCTATGTGTTATACCAAGTAGGTATTTAAAAGGCAAAGATTGGGGGAGGCATTTTAAAGTAGTGAAAAGCAGAAACTAAAATAGACTAATACAGAATAAAAGCAAAAGCTGAAATATAAGAATTTGAGGGATGAGATTATAAGGTAAATTTAAATTAGGATGAGGACAGTGGGATCTGAAGGAGGGTAATAGATTTGAGATACAGTATAGCAGTAAGTATATTGAGAACTCTAGAATCTATGAAAAAAATAATAAAAATAGCTAACCAAAACATTTTTAGAATACTCAAATTTACTAACACACAATAAAGTGAAGAAATAAGAATAAACATTATAATGAAATACCATTTTTCACTTGTCAGAATGGCAAATGTTTCAAAAATATTGCTAACAAGGGAAAAAGGAAACTATCATTTTGATATTTGGTATTTTGAGACAGGGTCTTACCAAGTAGCCTAGACTGGCTTAGAACATGTTATGTAGACGAGACTGGCCTCAAACTCACAATCCTCCTGCCTCTGTCCAGAGAATGGGGGTGGAGGCAGGGGGATAAGTGAAAAAGTATACAGAACTTAAATTTTAAGGGATTCTTCCCAATATCTCTTTTAAAAGTCTCATATACTTGCAACTCACACACATATATAGTGTCCCTCATTATCAACATCTCCCACCAGTATGGTACATTTGTTTCAGTGTATGAACATACAATGACACATCATCACCCACCAGTTTTACATTAGTATTTACTCTTGGTGTTGGTACAGTCTATGGCTTTGGCATTCTTTTTTTTTTTTTTTCAGCATTGGGGCTTGAACTCAGGGTTTTATGCTTGCAAGGCAGGTGCTCCAACAGTTGAGCCACTCCACCAGCCCCATTTTATGGATTTGGACAAGAATTACTTTGCAGTGATGGGGAAATTTATGATGGACAAATATATGATGACAGGGTCTATCATTATAGTTTCACACAAAGTACTTTCACTGCTTAAATTCTCTGCACTTACAGCCAAGCATAGTGGTACAAGCCTGTAATCCTAGCACTTGGGGCAAAGGCAGGAGGACTGAGTTTGAGGCCAGCCTCAACTACATAACAAGTTTCAAGTCAGCATGGGCTACATAGCAAGACTCAGTCTCAAAAACAAAAAACCAAAGCAACAACAAAAATCAATCTGCTTTCTATTATTACTCCCTCTCTTCTAATACCTAGCAACTACTGTATTATTGGACTCATATAACATAAACTGTATCATTTTAATACTCCCATTCCAAGTAAGAGAATATAACTATTTTCTTATACTCGCACACTATGCAATATTATCTATTTTTCTGACAAAGTAAATTCAGAGCCAGATGTGATAGTACACCTGTAATCCGGGCTACTCAGAAGGTGGAGGTAGGAGGATCTCCAGCTCAAAGCTACTTCAGGCAAAGTTAGTGACAACCTATTTCATAAACAAAAGTGTTAGGAGCATGGCTCAGTAGTTTAGCTTTTTCCTAGCATGATTGAGGCCCTGGGTTCAATTCCTAGTACCACAAACAAACAAAAAGGTAAGCTCAAAGTGACTTTTAATATGCCAATCAACATTAATAAAACACGAGCCAAACAGACAAATGTAAATGAGTTAGATTAAAATTCAAATGAAAGACAATTTTTCTCCTTTTGAAGGAACATCTATTAGCTAGTACTTTTAGTCAAATGGCTAATCACAGATAAACTTCGAATTATCAGAAATCATTCTGACATTTCAAACAGCAATATACAGTGCTACCAACACCACTTTACGTACACAAATATTAAGGAGAAACTGGGCAAAACATTTAAAAATACTGAACATACAATCAAGTACAAAACTTAGAAGAAGGAAAGAGACCTTTTTAAAAAGTCAGGAAATGACATTATCAGAAAAAATTACAAAACCAATAATAATTACACTATGTAGCCAGTGTGCAGTGGCTCATATCTGTCATCCTAACTACTTGTAGGGCAGAGATTGGGAGGATCATGGTTTGAGATACGCCCAAGCAAAAAGTTAGTAAAATGCCATCTCAACCAATAAAAACTGGACATAGTGGCACCTACCTGTCATCCCAGCTAAGCAAGGATCATAGAAGGACCGTGATCCACACAAGACCCTATCTAAAAAATAACCAATGTAAACAAAAAGGGATGGCAGAGTGGCTCAAGTGGTAGAGCACCTGCTTCGTAAGTGTGAGGCCTTGAGTTCAATCCCCAGTACTGCAAAAAAACAAAAAAAGAAAAAACAAAAAAAAAAGCATTCCTAAAGGGGGAAAGGGTTCATTTTCTTCAATGCTCAAAGAGGAAAAAAAATTAAAAAATATATATATATACTGCTTTTCATCAAGAGCAGCTATGTATTTTATGCAATTTTTAATTCAACTAAATTTGATGAACCAAAAAAGTTATACATCATGGGTTTTTTTGTTTGCTTTTTAGACAGGGTTTTGTTATGTAGCACTGGCTGGTGCCAAACTCATGATCCTCCTACCTCTGCCCCCCACCATGACTGATACATTTAACTCTTTTTTTGTTTTTCTTCTTAGAGGTACAGGGGTTGAATTGCAGATCTGACACTTAGTAGGAAGGTGCTCTGCCACTTGAGCTACTTTGCCAGACGTTTTGGAGTTTGTTATTTTTTAAATAGGGTTTCACTTTATGCCCAGGTCAGCCTGGACCACAATCCTTTGAATTGTGCTCCCCTGCATAGCTCAGAATAACATGCACCTGCCACTGCACCCAGCCATTGGTTAAGACTGGATCTCGAGAACTTTTTTGCCTAGGCTGGTCTCAAACTGAGACACTCCTAATTACAGGTGTGAGCTCCCATGACTGGCAAACCTGTATTTTCTCCAAATTTGTGTACAATCACCCCAACATGATACATTAAAGCCTTTCCTTACTGCTTACAAATGTTAGCTTTATTTTTCATTTTTTTTTTTTTTCAGTGCTAGAGATTGAACCTAGGGCCTTACACATACCCCCGGACCAAATGTTAGCTTTATAGATTATTAAATTCACACACATACTTATCCACACATGTTCATGCACACACAAACACACCAGTATTCCTGAATCATGTTTCATTGATTTATTCTTTTCTCTCTCTCTCTTTTTGTGGCACTGGGGCTTAAACTCAGGGCCTACACTCTAAGTCACTCCACCAGCCCTTTTTGTGATGGGTTTCTTCAAAATATGGTCTCTCGAACTATTTGCCCATGCTGGCTTCGAACCACAATCCTCCTGATCTCTGCCTCCTGAGTAGTTAGGATTATAGGTATAAGCCACCAGTGTCATGCTGGTACTGGGGTTTGAGCTCAGGGCCTCATGCTTGCTAGTCAGGCACTCTACCACTTGAGTCACTCTGCCAGCCCCAAATCAATGTATTCTTGTGCCCGAACTCTATTTTTTAAAAAGTTTTTAAAAAAGTAATAGTGCCAAAAAAATAAAAAATAAAAAAGTAACAGTAATGATTTAGTGTAAGTAAGAACAAGTACCCTTTACTATTCACTTTCAAAAATTTCTAGCTATTCTTACATGTTTTCTAGTCTCAATAAACACTGTTTTTATTTTTATTTTTTACTTTTTGAAGTGCTGGGGATCAAATGCAGGGCCTCAGGCAAGCTAAAGCAAGTACTCTACCACTAAGCCACATCCTAAGCCCTTAAAGTTTTTATATTAAATTTTAAAATTTATATATATAGTGGTATAGAGGGTCAATATTTTTCAAATCAACCAAAATAACGATTAAGTAGAGAGAATGGATTCTACTCCTTTTTTCAAACCCTTTCTGGTGCTGCCCATTTTACCTATCGTGATACTCTGCTAGTGGATTTCCTTCTTCCAGGATTTTCCGGCCTGCAAAGTCAATGGTGATCTTCTTAGAGAGTCGAGAAGCATGTCGAAGTTCTCTCAGTTCCTCTTCTCGCTTCTGCAGGGTTTCCCGCTCAATTTTTGATAACCATTGGTTAGAATCACTGGCAAAGTAATCTGACTCATCATCAATGACTTGGGTCCTTCGAATGCTAAGGGGAAAAAAAAAAAAACATGTAATAATTTGATCATGGGTTGACAAATACGGATAAATTAGTGGGGAACTGTTTCAAAATAGCTTCTTCTTTGCTGTTCTGGAGGTTACTATCTCAACTATAGAATGCCAAGAATGTCCCAAAATCAGGTCAAGATCTTCCTGATTCCCAGCTTCTTCATACATCTTATTTCCACTGCAGGTTCAAGAACTAATCTCAACCTCAAGCAGGAAAAGACACAGCACCATAACCCACAGTCATTCTACCTTTCTGACTAGTTCAGCCTTCACCTTTTCTTTCTTTCTTTCTTTTTTTTTGCAATGCTGATGATGGATCACAGCTTTCACCTTCTAATAACTGGGATTCAGCCTGGTTTTGCTGTTTCTGAGTTCAGGTTTTAACAACTTATTATTCTTGTCTTTCTGTAATTGGTTGGATCCAGTCTGTTATCATTTGCTTACTGGAATTCTACCCTGAAATCTCAGTCCTATGGCTTACCATTTACTATTAGGGCACTCAATTAATCTATTATTGTATGTCAGTTCTCACATCCCTTCTTCTCAATCTCCAGTTTCTCGCTGGGGCCAAGTTCCAAGATATGACAATCAGCGCTGTCTCTAATACCATACTGACAAAGAAACTGAAGACTAAAAGAGTCCTGATGACCTAACTCATGCTACAGATAATGAACCTGAGGCTCGAAGAAATTAAGTGACTACTCGAAAGCCACAAATCCAATTAAGATTGAATTTCTCCATAATTATAAATTAGTAATATATGCAGGCATAAGGAAAATACTAAAATTAGATTCATATTTTGATTTCAATTATTCAGGACTCAGCTGGAATTACAAAAAGAACTTGTTTTAATGTAATCTTAGATTGTGAAGTTCAAGTTTATAAAATACCAGTAAGACCAGCTTTAAACCTAAATAATAAAACCAGCAAAACAGCAACATCAATAGGGAGAAGCTTTCTTCCAGTTTCTATTTATCAAGAAATATAACTGATTTCTTATTGTTTCTAATTATAAGTTTTACTGAGTATGGTGAAATGTGATAAAGGATTAAGAATGATTACGAGCTGGATGTAGTGATACATGTCTGTAATCCCAGGAGGCTGAGGCAGGAGATCAAAAGTTCAAGGCCAGTCTCTGCTCAAAAGAAAAAAAAATAAGAGTGAATATGAGTTACACACCTCGGAGACTTTCCTAAGGAACTGTTTTCTAAATTATATCTCGTGTTTTCTTAGCAAATGGTTTGAAAGTAGCAGGTCTATCTCACCAAAAGATTATGATAAAAGAAATAGGCTCCCAGGTCAGATCTAAGGATCCTCACAGATTCTCATGTAGCCATCTGAGAAGGAAGCATGTAAGTCCTACCCAAACATTTTGTTACCACTCACTACTTTTCAATACATACTTTGTCCAAAAGGAGAAAAAATCTGAAGAAATAAAAAATACCACAAATCTATCTCTTAAAGAGAAGTCAGCTGACTAAACCATTGTAAATAAGAGTATAAAGCCAATTTAGGCACATATTAATATACTGGTTATTAAATCAAAACACGAATTCACTGTCAATGGAAAGGAAAAGGGTAAATCATTCCTGTGATACAGCATTACCTGTGCTCTTATAGAGGCAACTTCTTAATACAGTCATATGTCACATAACACTTCTGTCAATGATGGACCACAAATAAAATGGTGGTCTTACAAGATTATAATGGAGCTGAAAAATTCCTATCATCTAGTAATGTCATACCCATCATGATATCATAGCACAATGCATTACTCATGTGTTTGTGGTGATGCTGATATAAACAAACCTACTCCACTGCCAGTTTTATAAAGGTATAACATATACATTATGCATAGTACACACTTAATAATTGTTATAGTTTGAATAGGAAATGTTCTCCAGAGGCTCATGTATTAGGAGCTTGACTGGGATTTGGGGGAGTGATTGGAGGCTATAACCTAATAAATAGACTAATTCCTGAGGGATTCATAACATGATGGCATTACGGGACATGGTGAGAAGTTAGAGGTAGGACCTAGTTAGAGGAAACAGGTCATTGGGAGCAGGCTCTGGAAAGATGTATCTTGTACCCTGCCCCTGGCTCTCTCTCTGCTTACTGTCCTCCATGAAGTGAGCTGCTTTTCTCCACCACATGCTCCCCACCATGATGTTTAGCCCTGACACAGCCTAAAAACAACAGAGCCACCTGACTCTGAAACTAAGCCAAAATAAATCATTCCTCCTCAAATTGTTTCTCTCAGGTTGTCACATGATAAAAAGTCATACTAACACAACAATGATGACAAGTATGTTACTGGTTAATTTTTTTTTTTCAGTACTGGGGTTTGAACTCAGGGCCATGCACTTGCTAGACAGATACTGTACCATTTGAGCCATACTCCCATCTCTTTTTATGCTCTAGTTATTTTTTAGGTAGGCTCTCTAGTTTTTGCCTAGGGCTGGTCTTAGACTATGATCCTCTACCTACAAACTCCCAAATAGCTAGGATGACAGTCACATTCCACCATGCTTGGCTTGTGGGTTGAGATAGGAATCTCACTAACTTTTTGCCTGGGCTAAGCTCCAACTGTAATCCTCCCAATCCCAGACTCCTGAGTATCTGGGATTACAGATGTGAGGCACTGTGCCCGACATTTTTTTTGAGACAGGGTCTCACTACATAGCCCAGGCTTGTCTAGAAGTCTCTATTTAGCAATAAGCAATCACCTCTAACTAGCCATCCTCCTTAGGCTCTTTTTTTTTGAGTTTGAACTCAGCGCTTTATGCTTGCAAAAGCAGATGTTCTACCATTTGAGTCACAGTTTCAGTCCATTTTGCCCTGGTTACTTTGGAGATAGGGTCTCACTAACTATCTGCCTAGACTGGCCTTGGAGTGCAATCCTCCCAAATCTCAGTCTACCAAGTAACTAAGATTAGAGACACGAGCCACTGGCGCCTGGTACATTATCTCTTATTTGTGTCATTTTCTCTTGTGCTTGATTTAATCTCATGTTTTGTTCATCATAGACTTAGAAGCAATAGGCTATGCCATAAATTTATACACCACATAGCCCAGGTATATAGCTGGTTATATCACAAGGTGTGCATAAATATGTCCCATGATGTTTGAACAACCAAGAAATCACCAAACAATGCATTTCTCAGAATACATCCCTGTCACCAAGCAATGCACGACTATGCATGTCAACTAATGACTAATGAATAAATGGCTGCAAGTGAAGTAAGTGGGGAATTATATCAACCCAAATCAACTATCCAAGGGTTATACTAGCATTTGCCATGAAGAAAAAAAAATGCTGCAGGATAAGATTCTCTTGGTAAGAACCTATCTTATTCAAACATGGATTCAAAGATAAGATACAGGCCTTTTATGTAGCGTATCCAGCTACATAGCCTTTTGCTAACAAACCATCTACCTTGAGAAGGTATCAAGTGCACAAGTAATGTTTTAATGGCCAGAATCTATGGATTCATCTGTTTTTTAGCACCTGTTATTCTAACCCTATCGTACCTAGTTCTGTCAAACTCTAAGAGTTTGTCTTTATGCTTGATAGCCTTCTCCAAACCAGACTTAATTCGAGATTCTTGATGAGGAAGAAGGTCCTTGGTAGAGATGTCCACCTTTCCAGAATTATCCGTTCCTGAAATTCAATAAGGAAATCAAATGGCATCAGCCTGTAGCATAAATGCATGCAGTAAAGAACAAATTATCTGAAGATCTGGTTCTGGCCTGATTGTCTGGAATCTTCATTTCAATAGAAAACACACCAACTACATAGGCCAGGTCTAACCTGTAAAGCATCAACTGGCACTTGACACATAATAGGTTCTCAATAAATGTTAGGGTCCTTTTCTTCCCTTATAGAAATCTGGATCACTAAGGGTTCCAAATTGTTTAACAATACAACATAAAAATGCCTTATAGGGCTGGCGGAGTAGCTCAATTGGTAGAGCACCTACCTAGCAAGCATAAGGCTGAGTTCAAACTCTAGTACCACCAATAAATAAAACAATAAAAATGCCTCTTTAGGGGCTGGAGGTATGGCTCAAGTAGTAGAGTGCCTGCCTAGCAAGCTCAAGGCCTTGAGTTTAAACCTCAGTACCACTAAAAACAAAAACAAAAAACACAACCAAATCTAAAGCTTACCTGGGACTACAACTCAGTGGTAGAGCACTTGCCTGGCTTGTCTGAGGCCCCAGGTTCAATTCTCAGCATGGGCCAAAAAAAAAAAAAAGCCTTGTATGGCAGGGAACGTACTTCAGTGGTAGAGATCTTGCCTAACATGTATAAGGCCATGAGTTTGATACCCAGCACTGTCAAAAAACAAATAAGTAAAAAATAATAAAAGAAAAAGAGGCTTATAAGAACTTTACAGTAGGGCTATTGCCTTTAAATGTAGTTTTCTATGTCAAAAGTAAACTGAGTAAGGGAAGAAAAGAAAATTTTAGAAAACAGTCAAATGCTATGCCACTTACATAAATTATATTATTTAATTCTCACAATAACCCTAATAAAAGATTTCATTATCTTCATTTATAGGTAAGGAAATTCAAGTTCAGAGATAATAAATTTACTGAGTTCACTTGGTTTCCAATTAGACAGTAGAGCCTGGTGTAGTGACACATACCTGTCATACCAGCTACTTAAGAGACTACAGCAGGAGGATCACTTAAGGCCAGGATTTCAAAACAGCCCGGGTAATATAGCAGGAGATCAATTAAAAAAAAAAAAAAAAGTGGGGTAACCATGTTCAACCTCATTAGTTAATAAAATTATAGCTTTTACAACTATGAAAATAAATTTGTAATATCAAAACTTACTAGGGAACAAGTTTTAGTGTTAGTATAACAATTTAGCAAATATATCTCAAAGTGGCAATATTCAACCAGGTGTGGTGGCTCATGCCTATAGTCCTAGCTATTAGCTACATGAAAGAAAGAAAAAAAAGTCAGACATGGTGGGTCATACCTATAATCCTAGGTACTCGGAGACAGGGATCCAGAGAATTGAAGTTCAAAACCAAGCTGGGCAAAAAGTTAGCAAGACCCCATATCTCAATCAATAAGCTAGGCATAGTGGCACACACCTGTGATCCTAGCTATACAGGAGGCCACGGGTAGGAGGATTGAGGTCTGAGGCCAACCTGAGGGAAAAACTCCAGACCCTTAAAGCAAAAAAGGGCTGGGGACATGATTCAAGTGGTAGAGTACCTGCCTACTATGGCCCTGAGGTCACACTCCATACTGCCAAAAAAAGAAAAAAAAAAAAAAAAATTTTTCTTGTGGCATCATTTGTGTTATTTATATTTGGGAAGAGTGAAAATATCTGGTAACTAGGAAGTAGGTAACCAAATCACAGTAAATCAAGTTAATAGAGTGTTTTTACCAACTAAAAACAAACATGAATAATATATCACAATGTATAAACTAATTGGGAAATATTAACTGAATAAAGCATAACATTTATACCCTCTGAGTGCTACTTTATAATACCAAGCAATCTGTTTATATAAAACAAAAACAATTATCAACTAAGATGGAAACAAATTAAAATATTTCTTAAGTGGAAAGTAATGAGTGCATTGTTTTTCCTTTTAAAAACAGTCCTTTTTTTTTTTTTTTGGTGGTGGTACTGGGGTTTGAACTCCAGGGTTTATACCTGCTATGCAGGTGCTTTACTGCTTGATTTATGTCTCCAGTCCTTTTTGTTGTTGTTTTTAATAGACAGGCTTTCACTATGTTGTTCAGGCTGGTCCCAAACTCCTGGGCTCAAGCAATCCACCTGCCTCGGCCTTCCAAATAGTTGGACTTATAGGTAGTGCCACTATGCCTGAAAAAATGTCCGTAACTATTTTTGTTTTTTAAGATGTTTTTTAAGTATAAAAGACCTACAAGAGCCAGAAAAGAGTTCCTGTATAACCTTAACCCAGCATCCCTTAATGTTACTATTTTATCTTTTAAAACCATAATGTAAGGTTCAAAAGTACGAAGTTGGGACTAGGAGTGTGCACAGTGGTAGAGCACATGCTTAGCAATTGGCATCAAAAAAGGAAACACTCAAAAAACTAAGAAATTAACATCAGTACAATTCAATTAACTAATTTCAGACCCTTTGGATTTAAAATTTTTTCCATTAATGTTGTTTTTCTATTTTAGGATCCAATTCAGGAGCTGCATTTAGTTGTAATGTCTTCTTATTCTACTCCAATCTGTGACATTTCTTTAGCTTTTTCTTATCATTGATGTCCCTATAAATCTGTTATTCTTAAATTTTCACCCAATAATTTTAGCACCCATTGGTGGATCTTGTCTGTAGTAATTATGCTTCAGGTTACTGATGGTGATTTTCTATTGTTCTCATTTCTTCTATTTTATTAGGCAGAATTCTTACATAAGAGATGTCACTTCAATTTCTTACTCAGTTATATTTTTACTTATATATATGAGAATTATTCTCATGAATATTAATTTTATTCTTTGAATTGTAATGCAATACTATTATTTATGTTTTTGCTTAATGGTACATTTTAATAGATTTTTTTAAAACAAATGCTTGTTAAAGGAGTGAAAAAAACTGCACCTTGCATACTATGGTAGAAGAAAGAAAAACAATCACAAATACAACAAACTATTTCAGTTGCCACAGTGCCTCAATGAGAAGACTGGGGTCTACCTGACATGAGCTTCTTTAGCAGTTTCTGGCTCTTGTTTGAGTCACGCTGTAAAATATGCTGTTCTTCATGAGTACAGACCTACAAAATAGTAAATGTAACATATATGACCCAACAGTTAAATTATATTGTCTGCTTAATGTCTTAAAAAGTAATCTCAAATTATATATTAAGTATGACAAAAAAATAATAATAATGATAAGCAAATAGCTGAAAAAAGTAAGATGGTACTTTTTAGCCAAGCACAGGTGGCTCACTCCTGTCATCCTAGCTACTCAGGAAGCAGAGAATTGGAGTGGTTCAAATGGTAGAGTGCCTGCCTCACAAGCATAAGGCCTTGAATTCAATCCCCAATATCACCAAAAAAAAAAAAAAAAAAAAAAAGGAAGCAGAGATCAGGAGGATTGTGGTTTGTGGTTCAAAGCCAACCTGGGCAAACAATTCTTAAAACTCTATGCCAAATCACCCATCACAAAGAAGAGCTGGTGGAGTGACTCAAGGTGTAGGCCTTGAGTTCAAACCCCAGTACTGGAAAAAAAACAAAAAAAAAGATGGCATTTTTTTGTCCAGAAAAACACACCAGGACTGGCAGTGTGGCTCAAGAGATAGAAACTGTTATGTAAGCTCAAAGCCAAGTTCAAACCTCAGTACCACAACAAATAAATAAATAAATAAATAAAGCCAAAATATATACATCGAAATGAATTGTGCCCTAGGTCTTCTTCTTTTTTTTTTTTGGGTAGGACTGGGGTTTGATATCAGGGCCTCATGCTTGCTAGACAGGCACTCTACCATTTGAACCATTTCACCAATGTGTGTTAGGTATTTTTGAGACAGGGTCTCAAAAACTGCTTGCTGGGGCTTTCCTTGAACCTTGATTTTCCTACTCTCTGCCTCCTGAGTAGCTAAGATTATAGGTGTGAGCCACCTATACCCTACCTCTCTTCCCTTTCTTAATAACCAGGACAAACAATTTATCTCACGCAAGTATCCCTGATGACTTGGTTTTCTTTTAAATCTAATCTACTTTCAAATGACAAACATTTGCCTCTGTTGGGAAAAATCATGTAAGACTTTTTTTTTTTTTTAAAGCCACCTGTTCTGATAATGAAGTCCACTATGATAAAAGAAATTATAAGCAGATGCCTTATTAAAAGCAATCAGTAGTTGGGCACCAATGGCTCCTAACTGCTCAGGAGGAAAGATCAGGAGGATTTTGGTTCAAAGCAAGCCGAGGCAAATAGTCTAATGAGTCATCCTTTCTCGAAAACAACCAATATAAAAAAAGGCTAGTGGAATGGCTCAAGTGGTAGAGCATCTGCCTAGCAAGCATGAGCCTTGAGTTCAAACCCTGGCCAGCACTGCCAAAACACACACACACACACACAACACACACACACACACACACACACACACACACGAAAAATAAGTCACCAGTAAGAATTAGTCTAGCTTTATACTCTTATTTTTTTTCCTTGCTTTCAAATATTACCTATTCTAAAATAATACATAAATGCTGGGCGCCAGTGGCTCACATTTGTAATCCTAGCTACAGAAGGATTATGGTTCAAAGCCAGCCGGGCAAACAGTTCGAGAGACCCTATCTCAAAAAATACCTAACCAAAAAAAGGTCTGGCTGAGTGACTCAAGTGGCAGAGCGTTTGTTTAGCAAGTAGGAGGCCCTGAATTCAAAATCCCAATACTTCAAAAAAAAAAAAAGTAATAAAATTTAAAATATATATATATGTATGTGTATATATACATATATATGTGTGTATATACACGTATATATAGTAAGTCAAAAAGCTTGGGTTTTTTTTGTTTTTTTTTTTTTAATAAAATCACTGTAATTTTAAGAAGGGACTGAGAAGAGGCCATACTGAACTTATAAAACTGCAAGGCTGTAGAAGCTGGGCATGGTGGAACACACCTGCAGTCCTAGCACTTTGGAGACAGGGGTAGGAGGATCACAAGTTGGAGGCCAGCCTGGGCTACATAGTGAGTTCCAGTCTAGCCCAGGCTACACAGCATGACCCTCAAAACACAAAACAGAAAACAAGAAGCAAAACTAAACAAAAGAATACACCTCACGACTAGGCTAAAACCTTGGGTTTTTGTTTGGCTAATCAAAAATGTAGGCTGTCGGTGTGGCTCAAGTGGTAGAGTGGCCTGCCTAGCAAGCATGAGACCCTGAGTTTAACCCCTCCAGTACTGCCAAAGCAAAACAAAAAGCAAATCCCTGCTACTAGAGTTCACTAGCCCATTCATTCACTCATTCATTCATTTATTTATTTATTATGTGAGACAGGGTCACACTTGCATAGCCCAAGTTGGCCTCAAACTCAGGATCCTCTTGATTCAGCCTCTCAAGTGCTAGGATTTCACTGGACATCTTAGGGAGGAAATTTACTAAGAAAAGGGGAAATTATGAGGGATCTGAATGGCTTGTGTATTAACCCAAAGCACAGTAAAACAAAACAGCAAAGAAACAACTTACCAGAGAACCACAGAATAAGCAGGGGCCAGAACCCTCTTGTTCACACACAATACGTCCACAGATCAGACAGTTATTGATGAGCTTGTGCTTCTGCCCCAGACAATCACAAGCATGGCGACCAGGAAGCAGGACTGCAAGTTTGTCCTGTCCCTCTCTTGTGTATAAATTGACAAATTTTGTCTTCTTCTTTACAGAGTTGCTGCTCTCTTGTACCTAGGTGTACAAAGACATCACAATAACATTGAATACTAGCATTAAAAAGAATCAATGGGAAAGCCTCAGTTCTGTTCAATATCAACTCTTACTATCCAAGAACCATAAAAGAAAGGAGAAATACAAATTAAGTTATAATTATGGGCCTGAGGAAAGGTTATGCTCTACAAAAAACAAGCTAATAATTACCTTACCTTTTCTGCCATTAGCTCTCTACCCCCTACTATGGCTGAAAGAAGGTAAATGTAGTATTTAACATCTTAAAGTAGAGTTAAATTGGAGATGGCAAGAAACAAGAATGCCTCTAAAAGCATATGACATTAACAGATTTGAAAGATATGGACAATTAAGATAAAAAAATCAATCAGAAATTAGTAAGAAAAAAATATGGGAAAAGATTTAAATAAGAACTGCATAACAAAAGATATTCAAATGACCAATAGATACATAAAAAGGTACTCCACTTCATTTGTCATTAAAACAATGCATATGTGGGCATATAACCAAAGGAATGTAAGTCAGCATACAATAGAGATACCAGTACACCCACATCTATAATAGCACCATTTACAATAGCCAAACTATGGAATCAGTCTAGGTGTCCATCAACCAATAAATAGAGAAAAAAAGACAAGGGTGAACGGGAAGGCTAGAGTGAATGTAATTGGTTATCTACTAAAGCTGAATATACATCCTGCAACACAGCCATTCAATCCCTGGATATATACTCAAAAGAAATATGCAAATCTGGTGGGGTACCAGTGGCACACACCTATAATTCTAGCTACTAAAGAGGCAAAGAGCAGAAGGATCCCAGTTCAAAGCCAGTCTGGGAAAATAAAGAGACCCTATCTCGAAAATACCCAACACAAAAAAGGGCTGTTGGAGTGGCTCAAGTGGTACAGTGCTGCCTAGCAAGGGTGAAGCCCTGAATTCAAACCCCAGTACCAGCACCACAAAAAAAAAAAAAAGAAATGTGTAAATCTGTTCACCAAAATTATGAACAAGAATATTCACTGTAGCACTGTAATTGGAAACAACTCAAATTCTTAACAGAAAAGGTTAAATTGGGATGCATTCACATAAAAATCCTGTGTAGAAATGAAAAGAAGTACAGTTACCTCAAACAATACTGGTGACTCTCACAAACACTGTTAATTCAAAGAAGCAAAAAGAGCCAGGCGCCAGTGGCTCACACTTATAATCCTAGCTATTCAGGAGGCAGAGATCAGAATGATCCTGGTTCAAAGCCAACCTGGACGAACAATTCTACAGATCCTATTTTGAAACTACCCAACACAAAACAGAGCTGTCAAGAGGGTGAATTCAACTATGATATATGGTAAGAACTTTTATAAATGTTACAATGTATCCCCAGCACAACAATAATATAACTAAAAAACAAACAAAAAAACAAAAAGGCAGGTAGAAGTGGTTCAAGAGTACAGCACCTGCCTAGCAAGCGTGAGGCCCTGAGTTCAAACCCAAGTAACGCCAAAAAAAAGTTTATTATGTTATTTATGCCTTTAATATTACAAAGTAAAATTATAAAATTAGGTTTTATGAACACAGGTTTAACAGTTTCATCCATCATTATTCTGATTAGAACATAGTTTATGCGTCTCTTCTACTTTTACTTTTTTTTTTTTTGCAGTACTGGGGCTTGAACTCAGGGCCCACACCTTGAGCCATTCCACCAGCCCTTTTATGTGATAGTTTTTTTTTTTTTCAGATAGGGTCTCCTGAACTATTTGCCCACATTGGCTTTGAACCTTAATCCTCCTCATCTCTGCTTCTTGAATAGCTAAGATTATAGATTTCAGGCATGAGCCACGGATGCCCAACTCTACTTTTACCTTAATTACCAATTATATATTAATGCAAACATATACAATCTATCTTCAACTTTAAAACAAGTGTTTTAGTCCAGTATGGCAGTATATACCTATACTCCTAGCTACTTGAGTGGCTGAGCAGTAGGATTAAGAGAGCTCATGAGTTCACAATCAGACTGGGCAATACAGCAACACCCATCTCAAAAATAAATAAACCCAGTTGTTTTCACAGGTAAAAATAATATTAGAAGTTACTCAAAACAACCAGGCATTGGTGGTTCATGCCTATAATCCTAGCTACTCAGGAAGGAGAAGGAGGATCAAAGTTCAAAGCCAGCAGGGGAAAATAGTTCCAAAGACCCTATCTTATAAATACCTAATACAAAAGAGGGGTGGTGGAGTGGCTCAAGTAGTAGAGTGCCTGCCTAGCAAGTGTGAGGCACTGAGTTCAAACCCCAGTATCATCAAAAAAAAAAAAAAAAAAAAATTTTATTCAAAATAGGTTACATGGTGGCACACACCTATAATCCCAGTAGTAGGGAGGCGAATGATCAAAAGTTCAAGACCATCACAAAGAGAAAAATAAGCTAAAAATCTTGAAGGTGTCATTTGCTAGCAAATTGGCTCAAGTGGTAGAGTGCCTGCCTAGAAAGCTTGAGTGCAAATCCTAGTGCTGCCAAAAAAAAAAAAAAAAAAGCTAAAAGTTCAAGGCCAGTCTGGAATGTGAGACTGTCTAAAAAAACAAAAAAGACAAAAAGAATTACTCAAAATAATGTTAGTATGAAATATAAACTTAAGTGTGAAAATTAAAACCTTTAAAATATTGGAAGAAATTTTAGGATGCTATGTTTTTTATCTTGAGGTTGAAAAAAATGCCTTAAGGCTTAAATAAGCCATAAGAGGCATAAAACGTTACAGAAAAAAAAAAAAAAAAAGATCAATGCTTGACAATTTTTTTTTTTTAACAGTACTGGGAATGGAACCCAGGGCCTCAAGCATGATAGGTAAACACTAAACCACTGACCTACATCCCCAGTCCTCAAAAACTAATACTATTTTTTTTGTCTTTCTTATTAGTGTATATTAATTGTACATATAAAGGAGTTTCACTGTGATATTTCCATACATGCAAAATAATGTACTTTAATCAAATTCACTACCACCACCCTCCTTTTTTTTGGTGGGACTGGGGTTTGAACTCAAGGGCTTCATAATTGCAAAACAGGTGCTCTATACTGCTTGAGCCATACATGGGGTCCATTTTGCTCTGGTTATTTTGGAGATGGGTCTCAAAACCTATTGCCTGGGCTGACCTCAAACCAAAATCCTCCCAATCTCAGCCTCTCAAGTAGCTAGGATTACAGGTATGAGCCACCAGTGCCCAGAGAGAAGTGCTATCTCATTTATGCATAATTATGAATTCTTAGGAGAAACTAAGTTGATTTTTAGAGAGTTTTCTTTTCCAGCACAGAGGTCTCATGCTTGTTAGCCAGGTAGGCATTTTACTTCTTGAGCCACACCTCCAATGCTTATTTTCACATCATTTCTCATCCTTAAAATGCACAGAACTTGGTGCCCACCTATGGGCCTACCTCAGGGACCAGGGTTTAAGGAGATCGAGGAAGAGGCACTGCTGTTGTTGCTGTGGCTTACCGGTCTCTGCTCCTGATCCATGCTGGACCAGTGATGCCGATGCCACAGCTAGGAACAAGGAAGAATAGGGGTTGAGCCCCAGCCAAGCTGCAGACTCAGGCTCTTCGGTCCCCTGGACCCGCCACACCTGAAGAAATGAGTGGTGGCTTGGCTCCAAGTAAGAGTACAGTGTATGTATCCAACTTGCCCTTCTCCCTGACAAACAATGACTTATACCAGATATTTTCCAAGTATGGCAAAGTTGTGAAGGTTACTATAATGAAGGACAAAGATGCTAGGAAAAGTAAAGGAGTTGCATTTATTCTATATTTTTGATAAAGACTCTGCACTTAACTGCACAAGAGCAATAAACAATAAACTGTTATTTGGTAGAGTGATAAAGGCAAGCACTGCTATTGACAATGGAAGAGCAGCTCAGAGCAGCTGAGTTCATCCGAAGGTGAAACTACTTCAGTAAGTCTAAGTATTATGAATGTGGGGAAAGTGGACACTTGAGTTATGCCTGTCCTAAAAATACGCTTGGAGAACGTGAACCTCCAAAGAAGAAAGAAAAAAATAAAAATTTTTTTAAAGTTCCTGAACCAGAAGAAGAAATTGAAGCAGTAGAAGGAAGTGAAGACAAAGGTGAAGATCCTGCTCTTAACAGTCTCAGTCAGGCCATAGTATTCCAGCAAGCCAAAATTGAAGAAGAACAAAACAAATGGAAACCTAGTGCAGGGGGTCCCTTAACATCAGATGATTCAGGACGCACACGGATAAAGAAGAGTGCTTACTTCAGTGATGAGGAAGAACTTAGCGATTAAAGTTGTATTTATTATGTAAATATTCTTAAAATAAATCTTGGGAGTACAAAAAAAATGCACAGAACTTTAAAAGCTTAGTAATATTATATACTGGAAAAAAAGAGCGATCTCTTACCCTGATGGTGGGAGGATTAAATTAGTACAATCACTATTTTATTTTGTTTTGTGGCACTGAGGAGTGGACCCAGGATCACTGAGCACCCAGGACCCTCCCTTTTTAAAAATTTTGTGACAGTATCTAAGTTGCCCAGGCTGGCTTCAAACTTTTGATCCCCCCTGCTTTAGTCTGACAAATAGGTGAGATTATACACATATGCTACCAAGCCTGGCTTAGTACACCACTTTAAATACTACTTTGACAATTTCAGTAAAAGAAAAATTAAAGCTTATAGCTCAGCAAATTTATTAAGAGGTACATCCAAAAGAAATTAAGAGAGTTTTAAAAAAGTTTTACAAATTGATATAGATCATTTTGTATATTTAAAAAATCATACAAAACTGTATTATATATAGTTAACAGACACATGTAGATGAAAAAAGTAACTGCTAAGATTCATATCAAATATGAATCATGAAAACAGTCATCTGTAGGGAGAAAGAAAATGGGGTTATGTAATAGTTTCTTAATCCTAAACAACTAACATTATTGTATGTTTGTTGTGGACAATATGCATAATAAGATGTTTAGTAACTTCCCCTACCTCTATCACCTCTCTATCTATGTTGTGACAACAAAAACATCTCCACACACAACTCCAGTGCGGGAAAAAGGGAACCATTGGATGGATACAGGGAGATGTGAACTTTATCTGAAACGTTTTATTTGTTTGTTTCTAACAAAAAAGACATGAAACAAATATGAAAAAAAATGTTATCAATTGTTAATCCTGGGTCTCAAGCAGATGAGTGCTTGTCCGTTATTTTTATTCTTTTTTTAATTTTTAGCTCTTTTTTCTTTTTTTTTTAGTGGGACTGGGGTTTGAACTAAGCTTTCTGTCCTAAAATTTATGCCTTCATTAAAAAACCACCATTGTAGACCAATCTGTACACTTGGCTCTCTGAAACATATTAGATGTATTAGCTTTTTCAATATAGTTACAAAAAGCTTCACTTTATAAGCACTCACCTTGGCCAAGTCAAAAGGTGTTTTGACCTCTACAGTTGTGTCAGGCTCAGCAAATGCAGGAACTTCCTGTTTGTTTCTTCCTTTCCGCCTACCCCGCTTTAGCTGGTCTCCAGATCTCTGTCCATCTAAAATTTCTTGAAAGAATAATATAAATACACACAGATACATATGTATACACAAACACACACGAGATTGATAAAAACAAGATTCATCAGTTAACCTCAGTAGGTAATACACAGAAGGTGATTTTTAATATTTAGAGTCAAGACATCTGGCAGGCATAGTGGTTCAAGTGGTAGAGCATCTGCCTAGCATGTGTGAGGCCCCAAGTTCAAACCCACTACAGCCAAGAAAAAAAAAAAAAAAACCAATAGTAGAATCAAGACATCAATTCAGGCAAGATTGCTCTCAATCCAAAATTAACTTTAAATCATTGTAAAGATTTTAGTCAATGATTAAAAACTCAACTGCTAATGAATGGGATTAATGAAACAAACTAAATCCTGTGAGGTGTAGGTAACTCAAGATAATCCTAGCAACTCAGGAGGTGGAGATTTGGAGGACTGTGGTTGAGGTGCGCCCAGCAAAATGTTCTGAAGATTCAATCTCAACCAAATAGCTAGGCCTGGTGGTGCATGCCTGTTATCCCAGCCACCTAGAATGGGTAAATAAAAGGATCAAGCTCCAGGCCAAGCTGGTCCAAGAATAAAAACTACCTAAAGCAAAATGGGGTGGGGCATGGCTCCAGTGGTAGAACACCTGCCTAACAAGTTTCCAGGGAATAAAAATATGATCTGCTTAAGTTACCTATGAAGAAATATGATAGGAAATACCAAGTTATTTAAAGCTGAGTATTTACCAATAATATTTCAATGTTTACTTAATTACATTGACTTACCATCTTTTTTGCAACACTGCTGAAGATCAGATATGAACTCTTGATCATTCTTTTGCCATTTGGTTATAAGATCTTCTATAAATTGACCTTTTTTGTCCTCATTTCCCTGTAGGAGGTCTGTCACATATTCTCGTATCTCTTCAGCACTCTCAATTGACAAAACATACCTTGGGAGGAAAAGATATAAATGAAACAAGGACAGTTCACCCTATGTTTTTCAATAACTGTAACAGAGATAAATGTAGTAAATTAATGCTAGGATAAGGCTTAGTATGCATGAGGTCCTGGATTAAATCCCCAGCACTGTTTAACAACAAAAACAAATTAAAAAATCATCATTAATTAAAAATGTGACTTTGAACCAACTCCTATGTTAGGCTATATAAATTTGATTAGGACAAAGATCCTGATCTCAAGGACTTCATAACCTAACATTCACACATATTTAGCCATTTATTGTTTCTCTGTATTTTTACAATCACATCAGTGCCGTGAAGGGTTGTGGGGCTATCCTTAACACAGGAACACTTCCTATAACTATACACATGCAATCTTCATATTTCCCTGGAAACAAAATTAATCTCTATAGTCTAAATCTCAAATTTCTCTAAACCTAACATTATTATTTGTTAAAGATATGAATATATACTTAATTTTAACCTTTTTGTTTGTTTGTTTGAGACATGGTCTCACTGTGTAGCCAGGGTTGGCCTGGAACTCTCAACCCTCCTGCCTCAGTCTCCCCAATGCTGGGATTATAGAGTACACCACCACCTAACCAGTTATTAATTCAATGTTTTAAAAAAATCATAAATCAAGAACTGACAGAGTGGTTCAAGTGGTAGAGTACCTGCTTTGTAAGCATGAGGCCCTGAGTTCAAACACCAGCACTGCAAAAGAAAAAATGAAGTAACAAGGATAGAAAAATATATGCAAAAAAGCTAATTGTATCATTATTTGAATTAGTGAAAAAGTGAAAACTACTTAAAATGTACATTGATGGGAATTTTACAAAATATAATACAGTACATTTTTTAATTATAATTGACCTGAGAAAATAAAAAAGGAGTGCACAGACTGATGTGTAGGAAAAAAAGCTAGAAATTTATATACCAAAATGATTACACTACTGAGTGACAGAACTAAAAGCAGTTTTATTTTTTAGTGCTAAGAATTCAATCCAGGGTCTTCAGTTTGATAGGCAAGTGCTCTACCACTTTAGCTACACCCACAGCTGTTTTGCTTTTATTTGTATTTATTTATTTATTTTTGTGGTACTGGAGTTTGAACTCAGAACCTATACTTTGAACCACCCCACCAGCCCTTTTTTGTGATGGGGTTTTTTGAGATAGGGTCTCAAAAAGTATTTGCCCAGGGTGGCTTCAAACCTTGATCCTCCTGATCTCTGTCCCCTGAATAGGTGGATTACAGGCATGAGTCACAGGCACCTGGCATGTTTTTATTTTTGAAATAGGGTTTTACTAACTTTGCCCAGGCTAGCCTCAAACTCTCAATCTTCCTGCCTCCTCCTCATGCTAGGAGCTGGCACTATTGGCATTGACTACCTTGCCCAGCTTATGAGTATTTTTTGAAAATGTATTGTATTAAAGAAATGGTCTCTAAATTGAAGAGACCACCCACAGAGTGTGAGAAAATATTTGCCAGCTACACATCAGACAAAGGACTGATAACCAGAATATATAGGGAACTTAAAAAACTAAATTCTCCCAAAACTAATGAACCAATAAAGAAATGGGCAAGTGAACTAAACAGAACTTTCTCAAAAGAAGAATTCAAATGCCCAAAAACACATGAAAAAAATGCTCACCATCCAGCAATAAAGGAATGCAAATTAAAACCACACTAAGATTCCACCTCACCCCTATTTTGAATAGCCATCATTAGGCAACACCACCACCAACAGGTGTGGCGAGGATGAGGGTAAAAGGAACCCTCTTACACTGTTTGGGAATGTAGACTATACAACCACTCTGGAAAAAAAATCTGGAGGAGCTACTTAAAAAAGTAAACATTGATCTACATTTGATCCAGCAATACCACTCTACCCAAAAGACTGTGACACTGGTTACTCCAGAGGCACTGCACACCCCATGTTTATTGCGGCACTATTCACAATAGCCCAAGTTATGGAAACAGCCAAAGATGCCCCCACTACTGGATGAATGGATCAAAGAAATGTGGTATCTATACACAATGGAATTTTATGCAGCCATGAAAAAGAATGAAATGTTATCATTCGCTAGTAAATGTATGGAATTGGGAACATCATTCTGAGTGAGGTTTAGCCTGGCCCAAAAGACCAAAAATCGTATGTTCTCCCTCATATGTGGATATTAGATCAAGGGCAAACACAACAAGGGGACTAGACTTTGATCACATGATACAGCGAGAGCACACAAGGGAGATATGAGGATAGGTAAGACACCCAAAAAACTAGACAGCATTTTTTGTCCTCAACGCAGAGAAACTAAAGCAGATACTTTAAAGCAACTGGGGCCAATAGGAAGAAGGGACAGGAACTAGAGAAAAGGTTAGTTCAAGAAGAATTAACTTAGAAGGAACACACATGTACAGGAAAGCAATGCGAGTCAACTCCCTGTATAGCTATCCTTATCTCAACTAGCAAAAACCCTTGGTCCTTCCTATTATTGCTTATACTCTCTCTTCAACAAAATTAGAGATAAGGGCAGAATAGTTTCTGCCTGGTATTGAGGGGTAAAGGGGGGTAAGGGAGGGAGGGGGTAAGAGAGGGGTGGGGGAAGGGGGGAGAAATGACCCAAACATTGTATGCACATATGAATAAAATAAAAATTAAAATAAAAAAAAGAAAATGTATTATAATAGGAAAAAACACGAAGAGACAAACAGTAATTATCTGTAGTTTGTGGTAATATTGTAATTTTTTTTAACCCTTTTCTGATTTTTTTAGTTTTCTACAATGAACATGTCTTATTAAAGAATAAAAATCAGGGAGGGGGTGGGGGCAGGGGGGAGAAATGAACCAAGCCTTGTATGCACATATGAATAATAAAAGAAAAATGAAAAAAAAAAAAAAAAAGAATAAAAATCATTAAGAAAATTGTAACTCAGGCTCATCAGTATGTAATGCAAGAAAACTTACATTATATCTTAAATTTTAAACACATGAAATTGTCCCATCATTGGTACATATGTACTGAATTCTTCCAGAGGCGTGCTGGAATTGGAGTTACAATGTATAGGTTAAAAAAAGGTGCATTTGGGCCCCATTAAATGGGTCTTCTAAGCTGGGTGGCTCATGCATATAATAATAATTACTCAGGAAGCAGAAATCAGGAATATGGAGGTTTGAGGCCAACCCAGGGAAACAGTTCATGGGACCCTATCTCAAAAATATCCAACACAAGGTGGGTGCTGGTGGTTCACACCTGTAATCCTAGCTACTCAGGAGGCAGAGATCAGGAGGATTTCAATTTGAAGCCAGTCTGCCAAATAGTTTGAGAGACCCTATCTCCAAAAAAAAAAAAAAAAAAATCATAAAAAACAGCTGATGGAGTGGCTACAGGTAGTTCAAGTCCCAGTAGAAAAAAAAAAAAAAAAAGTACCCAACGCAAATATAGGCTGGCAGAGTGGCTCATGTAGTAGAGTGCCTGCAGAGGCCCTGAGTTCAAAGCCAGTATACCAAAAAGAAAAAAAAAAAAGAAAGGACTCACAGTTCTGTAAAGGAAGCTCAAGAGATCATTTTAACTCTGGAGTTTTTAAATTACCAGGGAACTAAAGAGTTCCAGAAACATTTCAATATGTAACAAAGAACATTCATCCAAATGTGTTATATACCAAATCTTAGCAAAATTACGTCAACCAAAACATGAACTCATGCAAATCACAGAATAAAGTTTATTTTGCTAACTCTGTGGGCAGATTTTAAGGTATTATAAACATGTCGTTGATTAGAAAGTTAATAATTCTGTGCTATTTTAAAAATTCATGCCACTCACATAAAATTATTCAAGTTAGTACACTACTGTAACACACCTACATAATTCTCAATTAAATGCCAAATTACAGCAAATACTTTCATCATAGCATAATAGCCTGTTGTGCAACTAGCAAATACCTAACAAGTGATTCAAATACTATTATATCCTAGGTAGCTTTAGTGCTTATTTTAAGTTCAGAAGACTTCCTAACTTATATTTATGATTAAAAAAAAAAAAAGTCAAGGAAGTATTTAGCCATACATAGAGTTTCAATTTTAAAACAGAAATTTATCATTCCACTTTCAATGGTTTGAATAAATTTAACTAAGGAAAATTTGAGTTTTGAAAATAAGCTGTTAAACCACTACTTACAAGAATCGTAATTTTTCTTGATACGGTACAAAATACAATTAGATTCTGAGACTGAAAAGGCTGCATTTATCACCATGTTGACTAATCAGAAATAGCCACAATCTTTTAAAATGTTGAACGACTTAAAAAGAATAATGTAGCAAATATGAGTTCATTTGTACTTATATTAGTTTAAAAAAAACCATTTTTCTAGTTTATATATTGCCTTGAATCATTTCATTTGACAACATCCCACTACTTTTTTTTTTTTTTTTGGTCATGCGCTGGGGATTGAACCCAGGACTTCACACATGCTGGGAAAGCACTTCGGCTACTGAGCTGTATCTTCAATCCAGCATCTAGACCTCATCTCAATCAATCAATAAGCGAGGGTTGCCCGCATACTTTCTCGCTATAGGGGAGGTCGTATATAGGACAATAGAGGTCTGAAGCCAGGTGGGGCAAAACCTAGAGACCCTACTCGAAAAATAACTAAAGCAAAAAAAGCCTGTGAGTGTGGTTCAAGTGGTGGAGCAAGCGCTAGGCCCTGTGTACAAGCCCCAGAACAGATAAAACAAAATTCTTTAGCGACTGCATAGTAGTACACCTCAGTAATCCTGGAACTCAGGAGGCTGAGGCAAGAGGATCGCTAGTTCCAGGCCAACTTCGGCTACATAGTAAGACCCTTTCTCAAAAATACAAAATAAAAATAAATCCCTTAAGATTGGTTCTCGAGTTTTTCCTCCTGGAGACATCTATTTTCTTCCAAACTCAGAGACTTGCCTTACTTCCTACAATACTACAGTGGCAATTCAGGTTTCAGCATCAGTGAACAAGAAAATCAAATTAAGGAACACTTTCAGGTTCCTTCTCAAGTCTCATATTTGTAGTTTTTCCTTCCACCTCTACCTATCCTTGGTTCTCAGGCGAAAACACATCTCTTTCTAGTAAATCTTCATAGTGCCTCAATCATAATGGGATCCTTTGTTCCGTGCTCCCACAGCACCTTCCACTCCCCTCATCTCAGCACTCATCGAACCCAATTATCTTGACAGTCTTTGTTGTCCCAGTAACTGGCATGTAAAAATAACGCAACAAATGTCTGCTGATCAATTAAATCATGCTCTATTTCATAGGAACTTTAAGGCGCCAAATGTAAAAACTATTTATTTTATAGATAGAGAAACACAAGGTATAGAGAGGAAAATTAACTTGTCCAAGTTAACAAAACTGGTAAAATAACAACAGATAATAGAACTTGTGACTCGAATCAAGACCTATTTGCACTCTACTCGGTCGTCCTCATTTAAATTCCAGGTTCTGCTCCAACACATTTCACACAGGCAAATTAAATGTTCAGAGTAAGGAATTTCTGAAAATTCCTTCTCTCCCCAATTTGTAAGGAAATTGGAGCCTGGGACACTCTTACAAGGTCTACTGATTACGGATTTGCCATTTTCCTAGGAAAACAGGCCCCACTGGTATATTGTGGAGCCTGACACATTTCCAGAAGCTAAACTATAAAGGCGGAGGCCAAAATTCCGTCCCTTTTTTCACATTTCTTCTTTCAACTGTTCAGTCACCGCTTCCGCGTCCGCTCTACTAGTGCACATCCCGGAGCCCCGTTTCCGTCTCGACCCGAACCGCTCTTACTGCATGATCTCCTCGCTCACATCCAGGCCGAAAGTTTTCCTCAACTGCTGAGTACACCAGCGTACCAGCGGGTCCTGGGACGCCGCCCCAGCTACCGCCATCTTCCCCAGCCGAAACCAGCTGCGCTGCGCAAGACCTGGCGTCCTCCGCCGGACTAGTTCCCTTCGCAACACGGACCTTGCTCACGCGGGTTCCGCCAGCTTGTACCGCCTCCAGGGCAGATCCCGCCCACCTGTGCCGTTTCCGGCGTCTTTTGGCTTCCTCCGGCTCTCTTCCCTTCATAAGGGAACCCGAGCTCTTTCTGCGCTTAAATCTTAAGTCATCGTCAGATGTAAAAGTCGAGGACGGCCTTTGGCAATTGTGCAGAGAAGCCAGCGCAAATAACCTAAAGAGTACAGTTTAGGGGAAAAAAATGGAACCCCGAAAGCTCAGGGTACAGCTTTTAAATCTGTTCCGGTTTCACGTAAAATATTTAAAAGCGGTTTGTAAGCTTTAGTTTTTGCTACCGTGGTGGTAGTTAGTACCCTTCATAGCCTGGTATTAAATTTACACTGCTAAAACCTCTGTTTAGTTTTTTGAGCCAGCTCTTTTCAAGGAAATCCAAGGATGTGAGGGCGATCTGGCTGCGACATCTGTCACCCCATTGATCGCCAGGGTTGATTCGGCTGATCTGGCTGGCTAGGCGGGTGTCCCCTTCCTCCCTCACCGCTCCATGTGCGTCCCTCCCGAAGCTGCGCGCTCGGTCGAAGAGGACGACCATCCCCGATAGAGGAGGACCGTTCTTCGGTCAAGGGTATACGAGTAGCTGCGCTCCCCTGCTAGAACCTCCAAACAAGCTCTCAAGGAAATCCAAGACAACTCAGCAAGTTCAAGGGGATAAAAATTAAACAGCTGCTGAATTTTGACTTAAAACCTTCCACATGAGCTCTTCAACCAAGATGACAAGACTTAAGATTCCCCACTCTGCTAGTACACATAAGCTGAGGAAGTTTGCCAAACTTTTGACTCACAGCTGGCTTTTCATTATCTTTACAGGCTAAAAGTTATTCCCATTAAGTTATTTAGATGAAGTAATTACGTTCATTGTATGCTGTTTCGCCTTTTTTATGCTAATATTTTCTTGGCATAAATAAAATATATCGAGTTCAGATTTTCTTTGTTATTTTGGAAAACATGATTTTCCAGGTTTTTAATTTTTTTTTTCCTATTGTACCGGAGGTACATTGTGTCATTGACAAAAGTTCTTACAATATATCATAGTTAGTTGAATTCACCTCCTCCATCATTCTCCTTTCCCCTATTCCTGCAATAGTTTTAGCAGGTTTCTTTTTTCCATTTTCATACATGAGTACACAAGATTCCACCATATTCACACACACACCTCGCCCCCACCTTTTCCTCCCACTGGTACCCACACCCCAGACAGGACCTGTTTTGCCTTCCTGCTCTGTTTCTGAAAAAAAAAAAAATTTTTTTTGTTTGTTTAGGATAGCTATACAGAGTGTTTCATTGTGACATTTCCATGTATATATGTATTATAACCCAAATTGATCCATCTGCTCAGTATTTTTTAAAGCCAAATATTGTTCATGTTCATTAATGGGCACAAATTTTGTTTCTTCGTAAAACTCATATATTTATTATAAATTATAATGTATCCATATAGCCTACCTGTTTCTATATTTGTTCAGTCCCATAACCTAAACATTAACTTCTCGAAGATAGTGTGACTTCAGTCTTTTCACAGTAGAACTTAACACATGCACATTATGATGAAATGACTAGGTCCTCAAAAATAGTATTAAGTATTTTTATAAAGCATATGTTAAAATTGTAATCTCTACTTTGTGGTGTAAAGTCATTTATATTCATTATCACTTATTAAACTACATCTCTGCCTGAATAAAGCAAACACCCCCACTTAATGTGACTTTAACATATTCTTGCCGGTGGCTCATACCTGTAATCCTAGCTACTCAGGAGGCAGAGATCAGGAGGATCCAGGTTCGAAGCTGTCCTGGGTAAATAGTTTTTAAGACCCTAACTCAAAAAAAATCCATCATAAAAAAGGGCTGGTGGAGTGTTCAAGGTGTAAGCCCTGAGTTCAAACCCCAATACCACAAAAAAATAAAATAAAATTTAAAAACAGATATTCTTTAGGACTGAGGATGTAGTTCAGTGGCAAGACTTTGTGCTTAATGTATATAAGGTCTTGAGTTCGCAGCACCAAAAAATAATATTCTATGTTATAAATTTAGGTAGAAAGTTCATTCATGCATACTATTTTCTTAATGTTTTATGTCATTAAAAATTTCACAAAGTTCTTTTTGTTTTATCTAATTGTAAAGAAACACTTCTCTGAGTTGGGCATGTGGTGAACCTCTGCAATCCCATAATTCTGGAGGTTTAGGAGACAGGAGGATCTCTAGTTTGAGGCCAGCCTGGATTACATAGAAAGACCATGTGTCACAAAAGAAAACAAAGAACAACACTTCTCCAATGCAAACACTGTAGTTAAAAAAAAAACAAAAACTTTTTTTTCTGTACTGGGATTTGAACTCAGGGCCTATATCTTGAGCCATTCCACCAGCCCTTTTTTTGTGTGTGTGATGGGTTTTTTCCAGACAGTCTTGAGAACTATTTGCCCAGGTTGACTCAAACTGCAATCCTCCTGATCTCTGCCTCCTGAGTATCGAAGATTACAGGTATGAGCCAAGTCACCCGGCAAAAAAAAAAACTCATTAGGCATCACTATGTTTTGCTTTTTTCTCTAACATGCATTCTTTATTATCACCAGTGTTAAAAAAGACATACAAATAAAAACAAACACAATTATAGTAATATGTAGACCCCCTGTGTGGAAAGGTGTATTTGAAATTCTTTCTAACCATTTACTTGGCATGTAGTCTAAGAGAAAAGACAGATCTTCTAGGTATTTCCAATCCCTGCAGGAATCTGGGATTTGAGTTCAAAGCAAGAAATTTAGACCTATGTAGAAGTGACTAAGTGGAAAGGAAATAATGGCATTTGAAAACCAGTTTGCTGCATACTTGCAGTTCCAGCTGAGAAAGGGACAGGAGGATTGAGAATTCTAAGTCAGTCTGGGCTACAACATGAGTTCCAGGCCAGCCTGGGATACATAGTGAAATCATGACTCAAAAAACAAACAAACAACAGAACCAATTTGCACTGAGATTGTCCCTAATGACAATGAAGAACTATCCTGCCAGATCATGGTGGCTCATGTCTGTAATCCTAGGAATTTGTGGTATTTGAAGCCAACACCAGGCAAATAGTTTGTGAAAGCCTATCCCAAAAATACCCAAAACAAAAAGCTTAGGAAGTTTGAGGCCTGGAGTTCAAACTCCAGTACCACCATAGGAAAAGAAAAAAAGAAACATCTTGAGTTTTGTTTTTTTTTTTCTGGTAGGAATTTGAGCATTTTTTGTTTTTGTTTTTTTTAAAGAGGAAACAGCACTGATGTAGTGGCTTAAGTGGTACAGCACCTGCGTAGCAAGAGTGAGGCCCTGAGTTCAAACTCCAGTACTGCCAAAAAAAAAAAAAAAAAAAAAAAAAAAAAAAAGAGGAGCATAGCACTAGACTGCATTCTTACACTCCAGGGTAGAAAACTCCAGGTAATTGCCAATACAGTTCCTACCATTATTATGTTAATTTAGGCTATCACCTTAATCCTTTAATTCCATTTTAGTTTAGTTTGTTTGTTTGTTTATCTTTTTGAGATAGGATCTCTAACTAGCCTGGCCTCCAACTGATCTAGGCTGATCCTACTGTCCTCTGCCTTGCCAGTCCTAGCCTACACGCCTGGCTCTAAATCCTATAGAGATATTATTGATTATGTTAAAGTACCCAGTAGCCTATTTTGTGTGTGTGTGTGTGTGTGTGTGTGTGTGTGGTACTGGGGTTTGAACTGAGGGCCTTAAGCTTGCTATGCAGGCACTCTATCACTTGAACCACCAGTCAGCCCCAGCCTATTTTTTTTCTTATAA